GTGTAAAGGAAAAGCAAGCCTTTCTCAGGAGCCACAGCCCAGGCACCATCCCTGGCAGGCTTTTGTGTAGGGAGGATTCATTCCCTCGGATGGAAATGGAGGCTATGGTCACTGGCAACCAAACGGGAGGGGCGGAGTGGTTGGTTTGCCCAAGGTCCCCGTCGGGTGACTGAAGGCCACTCCCTTCTCCACCAGTGCCTTTCCCCTAGCATAGCCTGGCAGGTTTGAACACCGTTAAAAAGTAAGCTGAAGTGGCTGGCAGAGGGGCTCAAGTGGTAGAGAGCATGCCTAGCAGGCATGAGGCCCTGAGTTCAAACCCCAGGACCGCAAAAGAAAGCAAACTGAGGCACAGTGCCGTTTTGAAGAGTTTGAGCAAACAATGATCCACGAATGTGGAATCTCCAAACCAGAGCAGATCAGGAGCTCCACTGAGGGAACAAAAGGGGGACGCTTTTATGAGATGGGACAGACACAAAGCAAGGGGACCACTGGATTGGTTATAAGGTTGTCTTATTTGGTAATTAAGAAAGGTTGATTTTTTTATGAAATATTTAATCCAGTTTATTTTTTATTCATTTATTCATTTATGTACACACATTGGGCCACTTTTTTATTATTCATTACCTTTCTTTTTAATAGAATTTAATTGCCAATGTGCATAATTTTAATAATGTCTGTGTTTAGAAACTAGCTTGAAATTTTTTGAAAATTTAAGGATTGACTCTCATGAATTGTTTCTAGCATACCACTGCTCAAACTCCAGAGAGAGGAAGCAGGTATGCACTCATGGGCTCTGCCCAATGCTCGCTCTCTTTTTCTCTCTCTCCCTCTTTCTTTTGGCTAAGCTGGTCTTGAACTCCTGGACTCGAGGGATCCCCCATGTTAACCTCCCAAGTGCTGGGATTGCAGGTGTATGTCACTGTGCCTGGCTTGGGTTTCAATTCCCAAAGAATTCCCTTTCATCTCCTAATGTATCAGACAACCCTCCCCTTTGGGTGAATAAGTGGGGACCAAGTATAGTTGAGGCAGGCTAAGACAGGGAGAGACAGGAACGCTTAGGACTTAATATATTTTATTTATTTTTAATATACTTTAAATTGAACATTTTTTCTCACTCTCTGAACCTCTCTTTCAATTGCAAAAAAATGTAATAGCTGCCTCCCAACACTGCCAAAACAAAAGAGACAGACTTCCCAATGAGAAAAATCAATTAGTATACTTCAATTTGAACCCAGCCAAGAACAAATTGGGAATTTTCAATCCTTCTCAAGCATTCTTTTTGAGTAGCCAAGCCAGCAGACAGCTGTCCCTTGCTGACAAGGAAAACACTCAGTAATTACATCTCATGTCTAAGATTTTTCTTTCTTTTTGCAGGGGGATGGTACTGGGCTTGAACTCAGGGCCTGCACTTGCTAGGCAGGTGCTCTACCCCTTGAGCCTCATTCCCAGTCCCTGCTTTAGGTAGTTTTCAAATAAGATCTCCTGTTTATGCCTAGACTGAACTGGACCACAATCCTCCCATGCCAGCTTTTTTGTTGGTTGAGATGGGATCTTGTGAACTTTTTGCCTGGACTGACCTTAAACTGTGATCCTCCCAATCTCCACCTTCTGAGAACCTAGGATTACAAACAGTGAGCCAACACATCAGGTTCTAAGATTTTTCTTTATTGCTACTTTCCCTAAATCCAGCCACAAATGGTTGTTTGGGTTTTGCAACAATGTATCAGTTATCTAGTGATAAATAACTAACCTTCCCAAATATTCACTTAAAACAACAGTCATTTCAGCTGTCCATAATTCTAAGGACCACCCCTGAGAACTGGACGCAGCTCATGGTTCTGCTGCTTTGAGCTGGAGACACTCTTGTGGTTGCATTTGTCTGGCAATTTGATTGAGACTGGATGGACATCATGGAGTCATTCTTGCCTCACTGTGGGAGCTGACTATGAGCTGGACCTCTCTTAAGTGGTTTCTCAACTCCATGGTCCATCCAGATGTCTTTAGGTGGTGGTCTGCAAGCAGCAAAGGAGGAGAAACTCCAATGTTCAGTAATGGCTTATAAGCTTCTGCTGTCTCATTTTTGCGGATGTCTCATAGAATAGGAGGAATCTGCCCCATGTACTACCTATAAAAGAGTTTTCACTGAAAAATTGCAGTTTTCTTGGCATAGAAGCCTGCCTGGAATTTCGTGAAGTTCCTTTGGTTTCTTGAGAGCTGGAGACTTGAGAACATTTCATTGTGTCAAAGAACGTCTAACTGCTTGGGGTTTGAATCTGTTGGAGGAAGTAGATGAGTGCGTTGACTCTCCTACTTTTTTGTCATATTCATTATTAGAACTTTTTTTGGAGTGTTTTTGATGACTCTGCAAACTGAACCTAAAGAAAAATTTACTCTGTAATGGTTCACGCCTGTAATCACAGCTACTTGGGAGGCAGAGATCAGAAGGATCATGGCTCAAGGTCATCCCAGGCAAAAGTTAGTGAGACCCCATCTCAATAAATAAGCTGGGTGTGGTGTCATGTGCCTGTGATCCCAGCTATGCAGGAGACATAGGTACAAGGATCATGGTCTGAGGTCAGCTCTGGGCAAAAACGCAAGACCCTACCCGAAAAATAACTAAAGCAAAAGGACTGGGAAGACACAAAGAAAAATAAATACATGAAAGAAACTAAAAATAATAAATTTAAAAGGGTTGGGGTTGGGCTCAAGTGGTAGGGTGCTTCAAGGCCCTGAGTTCAAACCCCAGTACCACAAAAAGAAGAAAAGAAGGAGGAAGAAAAGGAGGAGGGGAGAAGAATGAAATTTATTTACTCTTACTTCATTTACACCAGTGGATGAAGTTTTAAGCTTACATTAATTCATTTTATATATTTTTTTGAGACAGGGTCACACTATGTAGCCCAGGTTGGCCTCCAACTTACAATTGTCCTGCCTCAGCTTCTCAAGTGCTGGGATTATAGTCATGCATCACCATGTTAGGTTCACATTAATTCTTATTGCCTACTTTTCCATTTTAGACACTAATATGTTTTCCATCTTTACGAATACCATAAAATGAATAAAAAACACATAAAAGTGCCCTATAACCCTGGCTAGGGTAAGGCTAGCAGATATAGGCCATTCACTTTAGAAAAAAAATTATTTACTTAAGTTTGTGGATTTTGATACTGAAAATCTGTCCCCCATTCCCAGGTTCTAACTCCTATGCTGTGGAAGATTAGCAGGAATCATTTATGATTTAATTAAACAGCAAGTATTTTCAACTACTATTTTTTGGGACACTGAGGTTTGAACTCAGGGCTCCACACTTGCTAGACAGTCCTCTTCCTCCCTCCCCCTCTCCTTCCCCTGTGAACTGTGTTCAATTCCACAGCACCACCCACACACAAAAAAGAGAGAGAAGAAAAAGGAGGAGGAGGAAGAAGGAAGGGAAGGGGAGAGGAGAAGGGAGGGAGGAAGGAAGGAAGGGAGGGAGGGAAGGAGGAACTGTCAGGAATACAGAAGGGGGTAAGGTAAGGGCATGGGGAGAAGACAGGGTGAACAGAGGTGACTACGATCAAAGTAACTTATATGCAAGTGTGAAAAAGTCATGCATGGCAGTTGATATACACTAAAAGAAAAATGAATTCTCATCCATGCACAAGCCTGAATGGCCTGCTGTCCTTGGGACTGACGAGGATGAATGGATTACATATGCAAATAACCTGTGCTCTCACCTGGTTACTGCTCATGCATACCATGGAGGGACACCTAAAGTGACACTGAAGAGGCTGTGCCTCTATCCAGCCTCCAGGACCGTGGAGGAAGCTGGGGCACCGATGCCATCCGAGGATGACGCCTGGCCACCATGTGAAGAGTGAGGAGGCCAAGTTGAGTCCCAGTGGCAGGGTTACTGGGTTGGAGCTGGAGCAGGGCAGGGCTAGGAGCTTGAGAGGCCGTCTGATTCCATGGGTAAGGGAGAGTTTAAGCAGAGACACTCAGCCCACCATGAGAAAAAGTGAAGCAAGATCGCTTGCAGATGCACCGCCTCCCTTCACAGTGTGCGTGGGACAGCAGAGACTAGCACGTGCTCTTTTGCCAGCCCGCCCAACACAGGCGTTCCGCGCATGCGTGCATCTGAGATTGCCAGGAATTGGCTTCGCAGGGGGCCAATCAGACGCAGCGATCCTACAGGCTCCTCCAATGAGCCCGTCCAACGCTTTTGCCTCAACCAATAGGACTTCGGGTGTCCTGAGAACAGCCCCGCCTTCCGTGAGCTGGTTTCTAGAGAGCGCCAGGTTGCGTGAAGGCCAGCCACACGGATCCTTCCTTAGCGTGAGGCTCTGGTGAGGTCATCTGGCCGCCAGGAAGAGTTCGGCTGCCTAAAGGGGAAAAAATAAGTAAAAAGAGGAGGCGGGAGAGCAGCTCTGCGGGTCTAGAGGAGAGAGAGGCATTGGGCCTGGGTCCTGAGTCTGAGGGAGGAGGCTGGGCCTGGACCCCGGGGCTGAGGGAGGAGGCTGGGACGCCAGGTCTAAGAAGGGCCAGGCCTCTTGTGTCCTTTGGGCCAAGGCCACTAGGACCCAACCTCCTTGATTTCTAGGAAGGACAGCACTGGCTCTCAGAACCTCAGAGTGTGGAGCCCCAGGGCGGGGGCCTGAGATACTGAGGCCCGATGAGCTCTGCATTAAACCTGGACTCCTGAGTCGGGGGCTTAGGGTCTTTGGGCCCAGCCTCCCATATCCAGAAGTTGAAGGGCACCTGGGTGCTGAATTTCTTGGTCTTAGTGAATAGGTGGCTGGGTCCAAGAACACATCCATGAAAATAGAAATAATGAGCTGGTTTCCTTGCACTAACTCACAGGCTACTTGAGGACAGAGACTTCTGAGGTCCTGGTCTTAGATACCATAAAATTTACCCTAAAGTCAGCATTTTCCAGAAATCTAGATTGAACCTAGTTGAAGAGTTGCCTTTTCCATATCAAAGCACAGATCCTGCTCAGCTCACACATTCTAGAAGAAGCCATGAGAGCCTGCCCTATGCACAATTTGCTGTTCCTCTTTCTGCTGGCCGTGTCCTCGTTGGCCTGTACGTATGTGGGGCGTGGGAAGGAACAGAGCAGCTGGGTCAGAGGGTGGATTTACGTTTACAAAAGGGATGGCTGCAGCCCCACACAGACAGGCAGGTGCTCACCTTTATCTCTTTCTTCTCAGTGGCCCAACAAATGCATTGTCACTTGGGTACATCTGTGACTATAGAAAGCAAACCATCAAACTGGACCACAGAGAAAGTTGAGACTTGTGACAATGGATCCCTTTGCCAGGAAACTATACTGTTGATCAAATCAGGTAAAAGGAGAATTGGGCAGTTGAGTTGAGCGGGAGAGAGAGTGACGATGCTGTTTTCCCTTCCCCAGGCCAAACATGACTCCCACCATTCACCTTTCTCCCTCCTGTCTCATCACAGGGCCCAAGACAGCTGTTTTGGCCACTAAAGGCTGTATCTCTCAAGTGCTAGAGGGCGTGACTTTTATCCAGCACTTTGATCCCCTGACCTGACTGCAGTCTCCTTCAGCAATTTTTGTGAGGAGTCACTTTGCAACAACAAAGAAAATGTCTTTCACTTTTGGAAAACACGCAAGTTCTCAGGTACTCTGAAAGAGGGGAGATCAGTGCTAACAGAAACGCCATGAACACCAAAAGAGATTATTTCTTCTCTCTTTGTGCTCTTGCTTGGCTTAGGCCCAAGTGAGCCATCCACAAAAGAACCTCCCAGTCTAATTGACTGTCTTTTTGTGAATTGTTGCCTTTGTAGTCTTAAGAAACACTGCTCAGGACAGAGGGCCATCAGCAAAAGGCTGGAATGTAAACAGGGTCTGTGTTTATTAAGCGATGTCTCTGATTTTTTTCTGAGCAGGGTGGTGGCATTATTCATGTAACAATTATTGGTTCCCCATTGCTGGGTGACAACAGCTCAATTCCCTAATGTGGCCTCAAGGCCTACAGTAATCTGGCCTGTCTATCTTTTTAGCTTCGTTTCCCTCTCTTTCCTCTTTCATTTTTTGGTGTTATATCTGGGACTAATACTCAGAATTCTTAACAATGGAGAGAGTATAGGCCATTAAAAAAACAACAGTTCAGCTCTACCTGTGCCTACCACCTGCCTATCAACCCTGCAACTTCTCACGGTTCTTCAGATCCACCAAGCTAACTCACATCTCCTGGCCTTTGGCCTTTATGTTTTTCTACCTCCACTAAACCCCACCCATTTGCACCTAGCCAACCTCCATTCATCCTCCTTTTCAAGTTAGGTTTCAGCTCTTTGAAGATATTTACCAAATTCTTAGTGTGTGTTTTGAACTCAGGGCCTCATGCCTGCTAGGCAGATACTCTCCCACTTGCTGCCCCCAACCCTTTTTTGCTTTAGTTATTTTTCAAATATGGTCTCATGTTTTTACTTTGGCAGGCCTGGTTCACCATTCTCCCATTTAGGCTGCTGCATAGCTGGGATGACAGGCACATACCACCATGCCTAGCTTTATTGGTTGAGATAGGGTCTCACTACATTTTCTCCTGGCTGACCTTGAACCCTGATCCTCCAGATCTCTGCCTCCTAAATGGCTTGGATTATAGGCATGTACCATTGTACCCAGCTCCACATTCTTTCAGGTAGTTAGGTATTTCTCCGTTCTTTTGTCATTATACTCTGGACTTTGTACCTACTGAGTTGTATTGTAGTTTTTACTCCCATCTTTTCTACTGTGTCACCACAACTAAGCAGAATGTGGAAGTCATGTGGATTAGGTTCTGACACAAAATCAGCTCGGAAAGGATGGGAAGGCTGCAGCAGTGAGCTTGATTAGAGGACCTACACAGCACAGGCTTGGGGAAGAAAAGGCAGCCAGGAGAGACTTCTTCAGATGCAGGACACAGCCTTAATTGTCCCCCTCTTTCTTCCTCCAGCTCCCAATACCTCAACCATGCTCCACTGCCCAACCTGTTTGGCTCTTGGGTCTTGTACCAGTGTTCCTTCTCTGCCTTGTCACCGCTATGCAACTCGGTGCTATCGAGGAAGAATTGGGCTCACTGGAGGTAAAGTGAAATGAAAATCTGATGAAGTCATGAGTTGGAAAGCCAGACTGCTGAGTAGAGATGTTCTGGCCCTCCGGTTTCCTAACACACTTCTGTGTCTCTCCATCCATTTGCTCCACAGAAGGCATCAACATGACTGTGGATGTCAGAGGCTGCACAGACATGACTGGTTGCAGGCTGATAGCTGGACTTACCAGAATAGGACCCATATCAGTGAAGGAAAAATGTCTGCCCCAGCCTGCCCTTCAACCTCGAAGAGCCAGAAGTGGGGCGCCATGGCTGCTGGTTTCAGTCTGGAGGTTAGAGCTACTACTGTCACTGCTGCTTGTCCACTTTTTCTGAGAGGGCGCTCTGGGCCTGGTCTCAGAACGCTTGACAGCTGGCCATCAGCAAGTAAGGTGCAGGTGGAGATTTGAAGGCAAACAGAGAGAGATGCTGCATGTGTATTTGATGTGTTTAATAATAAATTTTTTCCTGTGATTTCTGTATGCCTCAAGACTTGAAGTGGAATTTTAATGCTGAAAGAACCTTTAAAATGTCTTCTCTAATCCATTCATTTTCTAGACAGGGAATGTGAGTTCTGGAGAACTCACATTTTGTTCTATGGACAAAACTGAGCATGGTGGTACACGTGTGTAATCCCAGCACTCAGAGGCTGAGACAGGAGGATTGTGAGTTCCAGGTGAGTCTGGGCGATGCAGTGAAACCATGTCTCAAACAAACAAACAAAAAATCATAGAGTCATGGGCAGAACCAGGACATGAATTTAGGCATTTTAGATCTTTTGATCTAAAGTTTTTTCTTTCACTAACATGCTAACTTCTCTGTAGTGCTTCTAGCCCAATTTTAAGGCCTAAGTCATTGCTTTGTGGTTCTAAAGGAGGTATGGCAAAATGAGAAAAATCAGACTCTAAACTCTCTGATTATGAGTGACTTCCCTGTGTCCTGTCTGACCCTTGCCTGCTCTTCGTCATTCCCTCCTGTGAACGTGGCTTACTTATTATTTAGCAGTCCTCCCACGGACAAAGGGAACATGGGAGAGAACTAAGACTTGGCAGGGTTTGATGAACATGACTTGGGACTAGTAGGTCTTTTATTGGAAAAATTTTTAAAGTTTTTTAGTCTTATTTGAGGCTTAATAAAATCTTATTGTAAATAACTCAAATGATAAAGGAGGGATAGAGCAAGGTAAGAGATGGATAGTGTAGGCAGGAGACAGACCTGTTTTCATCTTTTTAAATAGCAGCTTTAGGGCTGGGTGTGGTGGCTCATGCCTGTAATCCCAGCTACTCAGAGGTGGAGATCCAGAGGCTCTCAGTTCAAGACCAGCATGAGCGAAAAGTTAGCAACACCCCATCTCAACAAAACAAGCCAGGCATGGTGGCACGCACTTGTGATCCCGTACTGAGAGGCATAGGTAGGGGGTCTGAGTTTGGCCCTAGGCAAAAACACAAGACCCTATCTGAAAAATAAAGCAAAAAGGAAAAAACGGTGATGGGGGGGCAGCTAGAGGTGCAGCTTAAGTGGTACAGCACCTGCGCAGCAAGTGCAAGGTCCTGAGTTCCCAGCACTGCCCCCTACACAAAAGGCTGTGTTGATGCCTAATTGACACACAGTAAACAGCACTGGAAATAGTAGGAGAAGCTTAATGCAAACTCTTGTTCCCCTCTGAAAAGACTAGGGAATTTGGCTAAGAACCAAGTTCTTTCTAGAAAGTTCTCTAGTTCTAGCCGCTCTCTTGCAGCTAACGCTCTACTCCATTTGCAAAATCTTGCTAAAGGGACAGGAAAGACAGCAAGTCACATTGTAACTTAGGAGAAACAGAAGTTTTGGAGATAACCATTGAGGCCATGGCTGGTAAGTAGTGTTGGGAGTTAAAAACAAAACAAACAACAACAAAAAACAGGTGTTCACCAAAGGACACCAGCTTCTAATAGAACAGAAAACAGTCGCAAGAGAAATTGCCCAGTGGATGGAGGAAGCATGTAGTTTCCAAAATTTTGTTCCGTGAATTGTTTTGGCATTTTAAAAGCTTTTCTTACAATAAACCAAAAAAGCTTGTATGGCAAATATTCAGCTCACAGACTCAATTGTGTAAACCTTTAATGTTTTATGTAAAGGTATATATTGATCCATTGATTTTAAATAATTTTATCCAAATCCCACATCTTTCTTTTCATTTTGGCAGTACTGGAGGTTGAGCTCAGGGCTCCACCCCTTTCTGCTTTAATTATTTTGAGGTCGGGTCTCACTTTACATCCAGGTTGGCTTGGACCATGGTCCTCCTATTTATGCCTCCTACATAGCTGGATGACATGCCTGTGCCACCACACCAAGGTTTCATTAGTTGAGATGGGGTTTCCAAAACTTTTTGCCGAGGCTGGCCTCAAACCACAATCATCCTGATCTCTGCCTCCCGAGTAGCTAGGATGGCACAATCCCACATTCTAGCACATTCTTCACCCTTGGCATAAACAGTCACATCAGGGTGTTCTCAGTCATAAATTAGTTGATGTAGGCCTTTGCCTTTCCGTTCTCATCCGGGGCATTTGCTCCAGTCCTGGTGGGACGAAGGTGTCTCTCAAGCTGGTCTTGCCGCTCATGTCCAAGGTCTCCTGGAAGCCAGGAACTCAGCTTCCATTCCTGGTGGTATCTGTAGAGGAACTGCCCAGGCTGACTGGGCACAGATGGGCACCACACAGGCCCAGAGCTCAGAGGTCTGCTGTTCCCTCAGTGACTCCTGGAAGCAGCCTCTTCCAACTGCTGTCAAGTCCTTTGGGGGCGCCCCAGAAATCCCACAGAGCTCGTGGAATTCTCTGGAGAGCTGGAGAAAGAACTTGGTAGGAACTTGCTTCCTCCCACACACTGGGCAGGAGATGCATCTAGGTCCTGGCATTTGTCATCCATGACACACACATTCTTCTTCAGTCTTGTGAGTGTTGCAGCATTCTCCCCATAAATCCTTCATCAGTACACTGAAACTCAAAACCCCGTGTCTTGCCTTCTCTACTTCAATGTACATAGCCTACTTTGAACTTCAAGGCTGACCTTTAAGATACTTCTGCCTTAGCCAGGTATGGCGGCACACACCTAAAATCCTAGCACTCAGGAGGCTGAGACAGGTGTGTGGAAAGTTCAAGGCCAGTCCAGACATTCATATTTGCCTCTTTCAATGTCTATGGTACATAGAGTAGGGGAGACGGGCACTGAGTGCCTGTGCTCTCCCTCAGTCACTCGCGTCGAGGCATTCTTGTTTGGGTTCTTTGTTTATGAGTTGTGTGCTGGGTACCTCTATTCCACCATCTTGGAGTCCTCCAAAAATAATCCTTTATAACTCTTCTTTTGAAGTGCCCTCTATAAGTTCCTTCCCTGTCCCCCCTTCCCTGCAAAGACCCGGATCAGGTCCTGGTTGGCTCATGGATGCTATGAAGACAACAGCACAGCTGGACAAACTAACTAGCTTCCATGGATGCTGGCGGTTTCGGTATCTCTCGGGCAGGCTGGGATAGCATACCAATGGCTCCCTGCCTTCCTCTTTCCTTCCTTTGAGGAGGGGCCCTTGTGCTCGCCCTTCGTTCTATCCTTCAGCCCCTCTCCCAGGTCCCATCAGCTGCTGCTGCCTCCTGGACCACAGAGCATTCCAGGGAGCATCTTAGAATGGAGGTGTGGCTCAAGCGGCAGAGCACCTCCCTTGCAAGCCAAAGCCTTGAGTTCAAATCCTGGTCCCACACAAATAATAACAAAGCAAAACAAAAAAAGGAATATTTTATTTTATTTTTGTTGTGCTGGGGTTTGAACTTGCACTTGCTAGGTAGGTGCACTATAGCTTAAGGCATCACCCAGCCCTTTTTGCTTTAATTTTTCAGATAGGGTCTCCCTTTTGCCCAGGACCTGCCTCCAACTGACCTCCTCCTACCTACAGCTTCCTACATAGCTGAGACTATAGTGTGTGCCACCACACCCATCTCTCCACTCCTCGAGAGTATTTTAAACTTAACAAAAATGAAAAGACAGCATCAGATGTTGTGAGATGCTGCTAGGCAGAATACCTGGGAAGTGTACATCATTGAATAGCAATATGAGCAAAGGAGAGAGTTATCAAAACAATTACCTCAGCTTCCACAGGTGAAAAAAAAAGGAGAGCAAAAGAAACCCAAGTAAGCTGAAGAAATGAAATAATTTAAAAACCCCAGGCCAGGAGTAATGGCTCACACCTGTAATCCCAGCTACTTTGGAGGCAGAGATTGGGAAGATCAAAGTTAAAGGCCAGCTTGGGCTAAAAGTTAGACCCCATCTCAACAAATAAACTGGGTGTGGTGGTACATATCTATAATCTCAACTACACAGGAGCCATAGGCAGGATCAAGGCCTGAGGGTGGCCCCAGGTAAATCAAGACCCTATATGAAAAATTACTAAAACAGCAAAGGCTGGATGTGTGGGTCAAGTGGCAGAGCCCTGTTTAGCAAGCTTGAAGCCCTGAGATTAAGCACCAGTACTACCAAAACACAAAACGACAGAAGAAAATAAGAGTCAAATTAGAAACCACAGCAAAGAGAATATAGAATTTTCCAAAAATGGTGTGATACCCATGCGCAACAATACCACTTGGCATGCACAAGTTTCTGGGTTCAATCCCCAGCACAGGAGAAAACAAAACCTCACATGATAAACAAAAGTTACCTCAAATGGATTCTAGATCTGTAGACATAAGCTAAAACTACATTTTAGGAGACAACCAAAGAAACTCTTCATGAATTTCGGTCAGGGTTAGGCAGAGTTCTCAGACCAAAGCACAGTCCACAAAATGATAAATCAGACTCCACGGGTCAGGACTTTCATTGTGGGAAAGGCCCCATGAAAAGGATGAAGAAACAAGGTACAGACTGGGAGGACATACTTGCTAACTACTGTGTGACAAAGGTTCACATGTAGAATACACATACAGTCATGGACCATGAAACAGTGTTCCGGCTAATGACAGACCACATACATGCTGGTGATTACAGTGGAAGGCCAGACATGTTGGTGCACACCCATAATCCCACCTAATCAAGAGGCAGAGGTAGGACGATCAGAGTCTGGATAAAAGCACAAAGCTTCATTTGAAAAATAAACTAAAAGCAAAAGGGTGTGGTACTCACACCTATAACCCTAGCTACTTGGGAAGCTAGAATCATGGTTCAAGACCAGCCTGGACAAAAAGTTTGTGAGACCCCATCTGAACCAATGACTGGGCACAGTGTCTCATGCAGATCATCCAACTACATGGGGAAGCACAAATAAGAGGACTGAAGTTCAGGCTTGCCAAGGCATAAAACAGCACTATCTCAAAAATAACCAA